ATCCTGCTGTCTTGCCTTGGCACTGCATCTTTGAGCTGTGAGCCCAAATAAACCCTTCTTTACGTGGCTTTTCACATTTTTTATTTTATTTTATGTGTTGGAGTGTTTTATCTGCATATCTATAAATGCACACGTCGTGTGATGCCCACAGAGGACAGAAGAGGCGGTCGGATCCCCTGGACCTGGAGTTACTGACAGCTGTTAGCCGCCATGTGGGTGCTGGGATTGGAACCCGTTCTCTGCAGGAGCAGCCAGTGCTCTTCACCACTGAGCCATCTCTCCAGCCTACCTTGTTTTTCTTCAGGGTATTTGGTCCGAGCAATAGGAAAAGTAACTAAAACACCAAGGGATCCAAGAAAGGAGGCTTCCCCCAGTTCTCCCCCCTCCTCCTCTTCTTCATCTTTCTCCCCCTCCTCCCCCTCCTCCTTCCATCCCTCTTCCTCTTCCTCCCCTCCTCCTCCTCCTCTCATGTTGGTGTCTGCAGGGACCAGAGGGTGAATGGACGGCTCCCGGTTGGGCCTGTCCTGTGTTAGGAAGGGCTCAGAGTCATGCTGAGGAGAAACGCTGCTGCTAGAACTCAGGCAGAATGTGCAACTGGGTGTAGCAGTCAAGGCTCTTGTTTCCTGGAAAGTGAGCCGTGGGACAAGGAAGTACTTCCTTATGGCGTGAGTCCAAGGACAGTCCCCTGCATCAGAAGGCCACAGGGGACTGTCGTCATCCTCCGTGGTCCAGGTTCTGGGAAGTATGAGGAGTCTGTGGGTGAACAAATGAGTGTTGTGTGTGCGTGTGTGTGTGCATCCAGAAACACATATATTTATGTGTGCGCACCCTTGGGTGTCTTTCTCAATCACTCTCCACCTTATTATTTTTAATTTTTTATTTCTTTATGATGTTTTGGGTTTTAAATTCATTTTTATTTTATGTGTATCAATGCTCTGCCTGCATGAACAGAAGTGCCCCTCATGTCATGCGATACCTGTGGAGGTAAGAAGAGACTGTCGGATCCCCTTGAACTGGAGTTATAGATGGCTGTTAGCCTCCACGGGGGTGCTAGGAATCAAACCTGAGTCCCCTGCAAGAGCAGCCAGTGCTCTAACCACTGAATCATCTCTCCAGCTCCTTAGTTCTTTATTTTTATGTGTATGAGTGTTTTGCCTACATGTATGTATGTATGTATGTATGTATGTAGTGCACCACATGCATGTAGTACTCACAGAGGCCAAAAGAGGGTGTTGGATCCCCTGTGAGCTACCATGTGGGTACTAAGAACTGAACTTGGGTCCTCTGGAAGAGCAGCCACTGCTCTTAATCACTGAGCCATCTCTCCAGCCCATCCCCTTATTTTTTGAGACATCATCTCTCACTGATATCCAGCCCTGACTGTTCAATGTCTGAGTCCATCTCCAGGCAGCTCATTAGTCAGCTATGACTAGCTCAGGGTGAGGGGACTGTAGTGATTTTAACTCTGGAGCTGTTTGTCAACCCTCAATTTCTTATTTAGATTTGTTGTAGAAAAGTAAAACACAGGTAAGATCCCTATGAGAAAATTTTCCAGCACTGGATGGTTTGATCTCCCTTTTGCACAGTCTGGTATAT